ACATTTTGTGTTATTTTGTAAGGAAAACCCCTTGAGACACCAGTCCTCCAGGATAAGAAAGGGACATCCCTAATGCGGATACTTAGCTTACTCAGTCACATGTGTACAGCTGAAAATACAAGTGAACACAATATGATCACTCCAGTTGGTATTTTATTATAAACTCCTTTAATGATGCTTTATTCTGCAATCATGACTTGAGAAAAAAAAATACTGTTTAGAAATTTAATGTTTAACATATGCATCTACTTAAGTACAAGTATTTTGTACATGACAATGCAGTCTACAATTTTAGTATGAGCAAGCTGGCTGTTAAGCAGTATATATTTATACAGCATGGTAGTCAACAGCCTATTTGTACAATACAGACAAGGGACAACACATTTCAGTGACAGACATCCAACAGAACCTTAGGTCTTTGAAACCTGGGACAGATCTTTCAAATGTTTCAGGACTTTGTAACTGGTTAGTGGCATTCAGATAAAGGCTGAGCAAAAGAAAATTGTGGACTTCACAGGCTAACCTGTCACAATGAACAGCTGCTCTGGTAAGGAGTCCAAATCTTTAAGATCAGCTGAAATAAAAAAATGCTTACAGAAATTGCTGAAGCTTACTACTGTCAGGTCTAGAGCAAGATTGAGTGACATCACCTGCGACATCATCAGCATGAATGACCTACTATTGTCCCTCATAGCACTTCACTGCCATGTGCAACAGGACAGTGCCTCAAAACCCCCCAAAAAGCATTACTTCCACCCATGTTAATAGGAATGGACAAAACAGCACAATGTGCTTCAGTCTATTGAACAAACAACCATAAAACTAACACGGGGTAGTCTGAAATTAATTTTCAAATAATAAAAAAAAACAAGCTATTCCTGAAAACCAGCTACATCAGTGTAAGACTGCAGGAGTGCTCATGACAGGCCTTCTGCAGACAACAGAAACCTACTCCGCTCTTAAAGATCTGGTACTCCTTTCATTACAAGCAATTCTTAATGTTATCTTATCCGTT